GAGGGGGGGCCCATAAGCACACATCGCTCTGCCACTACACCCTACCTTTGTTTGAATGTTTTCTCTCATGCGTGAGTTGAGTGATTACAGAGGATTTGTCTTCCATGTAGATTTGAGCGAACCTGTCTATGTCTCACGCCTTTATTATAACTTTATTTGGAAAGGGAAATGGGAGTTTAATGTAGGGAGTTTTGAGATTAGACTTGGGATGAGCGAAAGTACATTTCTACACCCAGGAGCAAATGCTCCTGGTGTGAACAGTAACATCAAAAAAATAGAAAAAATATTCAAAAAATTCTGAATTTTTTTTGTGACATACTTTCACAAATGTTTGTTGCGCATGCAAGAATTTTATTACGAAATCACATTTGTGGAAGGCATGCCGAAAAACAAAATCAGAGCTCCAAAATGCTTTTGTAAGTAATATTTTCAGAGCATCGATTTTGTTTTTTTTACCATACCTTCCACCAATGTGATTTTGCGACGAAATTTTGCGTGAACAACAAACATTTATGAAAGTATGTCACAAAAAAAATTCAGAATTTTTTGAATTATATTTAAATTTATTTGATGTTACTGTTCACACCAGGAGCATTTGCTCCTGGGTGTAGAAACTCAACATCCTGGGATAAGTCATTTTATTCCCAATCCCTTGTTTGGCACATAATGAAAATTATGTGTGGGAGTTTGAGGAGAAAATATATTCCAGCATTTGGTTTGTGAGAATTGACAAGGGAATTTAAGTAAGTTACGATGAAGGGTTAAGATTGACTCACTAAAACAATTCCCTTCCAACTCTGATGTGACGGCGGTCCGATCTTTCGATGAGAGTGGGGATAACTATCGATTTGGTGGATTTTGACCTTGACGATCCGGCTATACCGTACCCGACGGTACGCTTCGACAATCGCTAAACCAATCTCCGATGATTATTGATCTTGCCGTAGGCACGATCAACCTGAACAACGAGGTTCGAGTTCCTGCAAGCAACCGAAGAACAGGCAAGAACAAAGGTGAATTGCAACTGAAATTGCGGATGAAAAATTAAGCACATGAACTAGATCAAAATTTGGGGTTCCACTGTGGATCTGACAAGGCGATAGTCCTACACGTCTCGTAGATGCGAATTGTAGCGAAAGCTAGACAATACAATAAAACCCGAGTCTAAACCTAGATGAACGCTAACTATTTATTAAGTCCGTACGGCCGCCGCCTAGGAGCTGCGCGTTGACGTGTCCAACACCGCTACGATTTGAAGGAAAAAATAGTCATCATCAGGCTGGCCCACATGTAGATAGAATATTGTATGGTTTCCTTCCTTATTTGATGAGGTGGGCTTGTGTGTACCTGGCTTCCTCCTTCTCTCCTTTTGCATGTACGTAGCATGGAGCATAGATGGTTTGATTGGTTCTTGCATGCAATAGTGCTCCTGCTGGTGTAGTCAACGTGTAACATTTTCCATCTCCTGGCTTTATATTACTTTCTCTCGTCAGATCTTCAACACCTTCGTTTCTGAGTACAAGTAAATCGGAACATGAGCATAATATCATATTCTCGTCAGCTAAATCATATGTATAAATGAGCGATAGTACCTGGCCATTTATTTGTCTCATACGGGCTCTAGTCATAGGTCCCGACGGAATTGATGAAGGAATCGTGGCGGGTTTAACGGCAGAAGAGATGTCCTCATCATCCCCCCCCCTTTCTTGAATCGAAGTCGTCCTCGACAGTATCTCATCGTCCTCATCCAAATAAGGCTTTAAATCTGCAACGTTAAAGGTGGGACTAACCCGAAATTCTGCAGGCAAATCAAGCTTATATGCATTCTCGTTAATTTTTTCAAGCACTTTAAAAGGTCCATCTGCACGAGGCATTAACTTTGACTTTCTTAAATCAGGGAAGCGGTCTTTTCGCAAATGTAACCATACTAAATCACCTGGTTCAAACACAATACTTTTCCTACCCTGACTACCAGCAAGTTTATACTTGGCATTCATGCGTTCAATATTTTTCTTAGTCATCTCATGCATTTTCAATACTATCTCAGCACGTTCTTTAGCATCAAGGTTTACCTTCTCCGAAGATGGAATAGGTAATAAATCAATAGGCGCACGAGGTTTAAATCCATAAACAATCTCAAAAGGGCATAACTTTGTGGTAGAATGAACTGAACGATTATAAGCAAACTCTACATGAGGTAAACATTCTTCCCACATTTTTAAGTTCTTTTTCAAAACAGCCCTAAGCATAGTAGACAATGTTCGATTAACCACTTCAGTTTGACCATCTGTTTGAGAATGACATGTAGTACTAAATAAAAGCTTAGTCCCCAATTGTGTCCACAACACCCTCCAAAAGTGGCTAAGAAATTTTGTGTCACGGTCTGAAACAATTGTATTTGGCACCCCATGTAAATGAACTACTTCTTTAAAGAACAAATCAGCAATGTGAGTAGCTGTTGGGGAACGTTGCAGAAAACAAAAGTTTTCCTACGGTTTCACCAAGATCCATCTATAAGTTCATCTAGCAACGAGTGATCGGATTGCATCTACATACCTTTGTAGATCACGCGCGGAAGCATTCAAAGAATGGGGATGAGGAAGTCATACTCGACGTGATCCAAATCACCGGAGATCCTAGCGCCGAACGGACGGCACCTCCGCGTTCAACACACGTACGGTCAGCGTGACGTCTCCTCCTTCTTAATCCAGCAAGAGGGA